CTTTGTACTGGAAATTCCGACCATTAATAGTTCCATTTGGTTTCATCCCCAATGGCTACTGTTAAAATCATAAATGCTCTCCGGAGAGTAACAGATTACACCCATCTTATACAATTTTTAATGACGGGATTTGTCTCAGTCAGTTAACCAGGCCCAGGTGGGACAGCGCCGGTGGCAGTTCTGATAGAGTCCAGTACGAGCGCGGGACGGCGCGTCGCAGGTGCGGTGGAGGTCCAAGGCCTCCGTGGGGCGCGGCAGCACAGGGTCCCGAAAAGTCAAGAGAAAGCGGAGCTGGGAGAGGACTGAGGGTAAACTTTCCTGGTGCGATTGCTTTAGCTGGGTGGTTTGTGTTGAGACCTCTCCGCCCCCTTTGCATCTATTTCCCCACGTCAGGGCACGCGGGCTAGGGGGCTACGGAAGGCAGGAGGGGCTTCAGATGTCAGCACGTTCCGAATCGCGATGGACAGGGCTGAGGCTTCCATCGCACCCAATCTGGTGTGGTGCCCACCCCGTGCTGTAAGGACACGCGTGCGCCAACCCTAAAACCTGAGGTAAAACCATTTTAGTTCATTCTGTTTTTCCAAATGAGGCCTGAAACAAGAATACACAACCTTTATCTGTCTGATCTTTTTAAAGTAAGGACATCAAACAATCATTGATCTCTCAAAGCTTACAGAGAATCACTTCCCCCTAAATTATATTCTCTTTCTTAAATTTTAGAACTCTCTATCGACAGACTCACTCCGCCCTTTGTTTCAACGCGAGAGGGTGAATGATGTCTGCTGCACAGCCAAATCCGTGAGTGCCAAACACAGGCCTGGCTCATCCCCACTAAAGATAACAATGCCACAATTTCCGACGAGGCAGGAACAGGGTGACTGTCCGTTACCGTAAGTGATCAGCCATTGCTTTGAGTTTGGGCTGCACCAAGAGCCAATCTGGGGCCCTTTCACCCACGCCCCCCTCCAGACTGTCTGGACTTTCATGAGGTGACTAAATATTCAACGGCACTTGCTGATCGGCGTTCTTGAATATTAATAGACTGTGACGTGGATCCCAGAAGACTGGGAACTGCCCGGAGGGCCCAGAGCCCAGTTCAGGAGGGCTTCAAGCTAGCCGCTTGTTCCCTAGCCGTGTTTCTCTCTCTGGTGGTGAGACCCAGCGTCTCTCTCTGGTGGTGAGACCCAGCGTCCCTCTCTGAGGACAGCACACACCAGCTAAGCCCCTCCCTCTCCCCACAGACCTCGGGCTGCTCCCCTCAGCCTGCCCCCGGTCTCATTGCGGAGGTCTCGTCTGCATGTGCTCTCTCCAGGTACCCACAGCTTGAGTTCTCCTCTCACCTCTTTCACCCATCAGCCCTTCTGCAGCCAAGGTACATTCCTCTTCCTGCTTGCTCTGGAAGTTCAGGAGTCCTAGATCTACTGCTACACAATCATAGGGACCTGGTGCTCCTATTCTTCACTCAGTTCTTCAAGTCTTTTTACCCAGCGAGTCTTAGATTATTTAGACCATGCATAGAGTAGAATTTAGTTGACATGAGTACAGTTGCTGTATCCAATGTCACTTTTTTTGGAAGTGTGAAAGGACCACCTCTCCTATCAGGATTCATCAATAACATCATGTTTGCACTTCCTAATATCAAATCTTGTGTTTCTGGGTTTCCATCCACTTTTTTTCTCATACCGCATTTACCTAAGTGCAGATTCCTCACGTTGACTTTTTTCCTTAACATGGTTACATAAAAAATTTAACTCTCATGATAGTTAAAGCCAGATCCTCCGTTTCTGTACCGAATTTCACTGTTGCAAGAAGCAACAAGATGGAACACAAAGAGCACTGGACAGGAACGTCAGAAGTCCTGCTCCGGAGTCATTTCCCATGTGCCCTTCCGGGAGGTCACCAAATTTCTCTCTGAATTCTAAGCTACATGCATTAGAATGTCCCCTCTACTGAATGTGCTACTTATAAAATTCTGTCCAGTTCAAAAAATTCTTCAGTAATGACATTACTATTACAAATGTTCAGATAAATAATTTAACCTATCAGTCAACACTAGGTCTTGGGCCCCATAATTTAATAGGAGAATAGACATTCACGGGCTATCTGTTAGGACTTGGACACCTTGCAGAAAACGGAGAAGCTACAAAAAAACTTATTGTCACATACACAAGGCATGATCAGAACAGCTGATTTTCAGGTCTAAGAAAGTTAAAATGTGACCGAAGTTAACATACAGCAAAAGATCCAAGTTAGTCAATAGAATATAGATTTCCTCAGAAGAGGTTTTCTGGAGATCTTTTAAGGAAAGGCATATTCTCATATATTTGTGAGATTCCTGAGCACGAGAGGGTAAACAAGGATGTGGGGTCCCTTCCAACTCTGTGACTTTGTGACACATGAGGTGTGCATGTGCTCATGTGTGTGCATGTGTGTGCACAGACATCTACACACATGCACACACACATACAGAACATGCCACTAAAATGTGAGCCCAAGTGTGCTGCAGCCCAGTGGAAGCCTGGGGGACTCACCTTCCCATCTGCTCTCACTCAGCAGTATTACCGCTCACTGCTTTTCGGTTTCAAATCATTTGAAACAAGGAGAGTATGTATTAAAATAAATTTGTACTGTTATTTAAGGGAAAGATCCCTTAATTTGGTTCTCTAAGGAGGGGTTGAGTTTGCATGTAAGAATACACTGAATTGAAACCAAACTAGCCTTAGCTGTTTCTGGTTCTTTCACTAGGCTTAACTCTGTGTGCAAGGGGAAGCCCGATGCAGACCACGCTGATTCCGTTTTTACTGAGGAGTCTCAGTACCATCTGATTGGCTTCAGAGCCAAAGGATGCATTCAATTGATTTAGATTAAAAGATCCATTTGTTTCCAAACATCTCTGGGCTGATAATACTTCACTGAAAAATAAGCTTTAGCATCTCCAAAAAGAAAGAGAAATGGTCTTCTGTAAGTCAATTCTTGCTGTTAAGATCTCAGCCAAGGTCTCCTAGAGGTATACATGTTTTAAATGTGAGATCTTCAGCCTCCATCCCATTTGGCTTCTCTTATCCCCGCCCTGGCTTCGTGAAGTTTTCAGGGTCAAGAAGACGCCCCTCTGAGAATGGAGGAAAAAGGACCCCAACTGCATGGAGTGAGCACAGCTGCTTCTGGGTGTCCCACCTGCACTCTGCAGCCACAGCTGCCTCTGGTCTTCAGTTTTATACCAGGTCAAGCCTTCCTCAAGTGAAGCAGGTTCAAGGACGGGAAATTTCCAATGACGAAAGGCATCATCTCAAACCAAGAGCTCATACAGCCTCCCAAACCCACACCCTAATGAGCCATCTCCACTTTGCTGGCATGCCGAGGCATCTGACAAAATAAGAGCGAAATTATACAGGAACCAGGGAATTTCTTATGCATAGCACAGATTGAGCTTTTGACTCCCAATCCTTGGGTTTAGACCTATAAATAGCAATCTGCTCTTTTCGTAAGTATCACCTCTGTCCCATGGTCAGAAACGCTACCTGAGTCCTCGTTCAAGCCTCTAAGGCTAGCCCACGTTGACTTCATCCCTAGTGAGGGAGAACTGTAATAATAGGAAACCCACTTAGTTATAGGATGCTAATTTGGGGTGGAAATATTTCTTTATAGAGAGAATGTTCTGTAGAATTTTCGAGGAAGAGGGATTGGTTTGTCTGTTTTGAACCTGTCAAGCTATACTAAGAGTTAACCCTTTAACCAGCTCTCACACTGAATATAAGAATTTTTAGATGCCCAAATTTAGAAAATCTTCTTCAAAGAAGAAATAAAATTGTATTTAAATCCTTTAGATGACGATGATGACAATAATGAGGGTGATTAGCTAATATGATGGCCCCTTTTTTTAATCAAAAAATGGGCTTTGGCAAGATGACCCCCAAAATGGAGTTCACACTAAATATAAATCCAAAGTTGGCTTTATGTATGTCCCTGAATAGTGGATGGTGGGAGTCTGTCACACAATGTCCCCAATGTGGCCCTTTGCTTTCCTGAACTCTAGAGAGGTGTCCTTTCTTTGCCCCGATCCCAGCAAATGAGACCGACAGGCAACCCTAAAATAAATAGGAGAAACCAGCATACGCTGTTGATTTACCAGGCTTGAGCAAACTGCTCCCGAATCTCCTGGAGTCTCCCAGGATCTATTTTAATGATCTGCCTGAGGTGAACTAAGCAGTGATTAAAAGCCGAGAGCCCTCAAGATGTGCTAAGAAGGGAACTGCACAGTCCACAGGAGTGGCGAAGCGCGGCTTGCTGATTCACCTTTCCGCCCCTCTGCCCCAGCCTCTGCGGACGGTGGGGCGAGGGCGGCTGTGCCACCGGGACCCCGGGACCTTCTCTGTCCCAGCCACCCTGGAAACCTGGTACTTCCCACCTGAGTCCTGCTATACATCCTCCAGCTGGTCCAGCAGGGAGAGTTTGCTCTCTTCCCACCCAGGATGGGCAGCGTCGGTCTGTTCATACCTTCAAATATCACTTGAGGAAAAGGGACACGAGGCGTATGGAAAAAAAACGTCCTTTAAACATAGCCCGTTTTCTCTTAACTTGTCTTAGAAGCAAAGTCCTGTTGGAGGGTCAGAATAAGCTGATTTTTTTTTTGCTACACCCCTTCCTCCCCTCTCCTCCAAATGACAAAGTACTAGTTGGGAACCTTCACAACTAAGGCATTAAATGAGGCAGCTCCGAAGAGAGGCCTTTGTCCAAAGGTGCTGCACGTCGAGTTTACCTCGCCAGATGCCCCTGTGCGTGCCGGCATTGATGGGGCCAGGGCGCCCTCCCAGAGGGGAAGGGGGGGGAGGAGGGCAGCCCCCGCAGCACTGAGGCAGCAATTGGTGTCCCCTCCCAGCCCGGTGGCTCCGGGGCTACAGGCACAAACAAATACAGAGCCATTCAAGAGATGCATGTTCTCTCTCCCACACACACACACGCACACACACGCACGCGAGCAGGGACCCCGAAAGCAGCATTACCTGCTCCTGCTGCTGCACGGATTTCCCCGAGGCACTCGGGTCCTTCGCGGTGGTCATGGTCCGTGCAGGGCGCCCGCCACCGCCGGCCGGGGTCTCACGCAGAGTTGGGAGCCAGCCGGGTGCAAGGGCGAGGTGGGGAGCAGCGTGATTTTAGTCCATACTTCGGAAAGCACGGCTATTTTGGGGAGGGTGGGGGAGGGACGGCGCGCAGACCAGCCTAGTTCGCTCTCGAAATGCCAAGAGCGGCGGGATCGGAAGAGGGAAGATGCCGCTGCTCGGCGGGGCTTCTCCAATTAGCAACAGCCTCTGCAATCGCCACAGAAGCAACGATACTGCTTAGCAACGGGCAACCGGCGCCGGGTGCAGGAGGGGACCGGGCGGCGCGCCGCCTCCCCGCCGCCGCCGCCGGCCGCGCACGGCGCATGCTCGGGCGCGCGCTCCCGGCTGGGCTGGGCCGGGCCGGGCCGGGCCCGGCCGGGGCGGGCGGGGGTCCACGCGGGACGCCGCCTGCAGCCCGGGACCTTGTCACCCGTCCTCGCGTCTCCCGCAGCCGTGCCCCGGGGGCTGCAGCTGCCGCCCCTGCAGCGGAGCGCGCCGCCCGCTCCTACCTGGGCAGGGGCACCGGGTGGCCGCAGGGGGGATGCTCTTTGTTTTCCCTGCTGCAAAGTGTCTGGTGCGTCTGAGAAGCAAGGTGGTCTGTGTGCACAGGGGAAGCATCTTTTCTGTTTGCCAGATGGGTGTTGCAGGAGCGCTAGTTGTTGAAATATGGCCTTTATTTTCCTTAAAATTCAGTAAACTCATGTTCCATCTTTAGAGTCCAAGAATCTATATTTCCCTAAGAAAATCAACCAGGGCCTCAAAGGAGTCTCCTTTAAAATAAATAAAGGAGAGGAAAAAAACAAAAACCCCAGCTTATATGATGGCCTCACAGAAACATAAGGGCTCCTGGCTGTGTTCTGCGCTCAAGAGGAAGCAGGACTGGAGGTGGCCTTGCCTGAGGCCTGAGGCCTCCACCTTGCACTGCCCGGTGCCCTGCCCTGCCTGGCGTCTGTGCCCATGGGCACACAGCTGGTGGGCAGAGCAAGAATGCCTGCGGGAGCTCTAGGGAGGGCTCCTAACTTAGCCAGTCCTGTGCAGGTGGGGCTATGTCGCGGCCCTCCCGGCGTGCATGTGACCAAGCGCTCTGCCCATGCTGCTCTAACTCCTGGTCTGGAGCTTCTACTTCCTTCACTGGCTCTTGGTGACAGGCGTTCCCTGACCTTGGGGAGCCCAGCCACCCGTACACTGGGTGCCAGTCAGCACCCCCAATGGTAAAGTCCTCCAGGCTAAGGAGGACTGTTCCAGTCTCTGCACCTCTGCAGGGCCAGTGTGCTTCCTCACAGGGGAAAGGCAAAGTAAATACATTTCCATGCAAGAGGTTGTTTAGGAGACTTCCTGGTGCCCCGCCCCTGCCCCTGCTCCCCAAGTCATTTTACAAAATCCAAGGCTTCCTGTCCTTCCTCAGAGTTGACAGATGAATCCAGATCATGGCAGAGTGGCTGGCCACCTTTATCATAGCCTGAACTTAATTCTGGTCTGCTTATTTGGCACAGATTCCAAGAGGTCTGGATGGACGGCTGGTAGCCTGCGTGGTTTGGCCAAGAGTGTAAGAAAGAAAACCCCACGCAAACCCTCGCCAAAGCCGGCAAGGTGTCAGTTCCTACCCTGTTCATCTTTGTGGGCTTCCTATTGGCATGTTTGGAAGCTAAGTTCTTACCAATGTTGGTGGGAGGGAGTGTGCCAGGCCAACGACGTTCGGGCCAGCTCTCAGGGAGTCTGCCCACAGTCACAAGATCCTCAGTGGAAGGTCCCACCTTCGTTCCATCCCTGGCCCCAGCAACCACTGTGAGGTTGCTAAGCTAACTTGTCATGGAGGGAAGGGCCGGGCAGTGAGGTGAGTAGTCACTCTCCCCTGACACACCTGGAATGCAGTTGCTCCTGGAGGACCTTGGCCACAGGAGAAATCAGCAGCCCCTGCCTCAGAATAGACCTTCACAACTGCAGTCTCAGAATTGCCCAGGCTCTCAGAATTCTTCTGTCTCCAAAATGTCCGCTTAAACCTAAAACCCAGGAGCAGGTCAAATCTCAAGCTCTTGTCTGTTAACATCTCAGAAGGGATTCATTGCTAACCTGCTGATGCCATGAACACGACCCAGGAGTGATACCCAAGGACAGGGATGACAGCAGACGGGAAGGTGGAGATCTGAAGGGAGCAGACCCGTCTCCCGCACAGGTCTCCAGGGCACGCATCACACTAGGAAGTGGCCCCTGGGGATGCTTGGCTGGGTATGGTGGGGAACACTTTCAGACATGTCCCATTTCCTTCTAGGTAAGGAGCTTAAAATATTATTTTACACCTAAAATGGATATGGATATAATGCAAAGTTTGGGTGTATTTGTAAGATTACATAAAGGAATGTATAACTTCAAAGGAATGTCCTACTGGACTCAGATTGCCAGGCCCTGCCCCCAGGCCCCGCCCCCGCATTCATTAGCTCTGTCATCAGGAGCCGTCAGGAGCCCTCAGGTGGGAAAGTTTGGGAATTACTGGTGGAGAACCAGGCCGGGCTGTGCCACCCAGAGCCTTTTCCTGGGATGTTCTGGCACCGGCTTTCCAGTTGCCTACTTTTTTGCGTACTTGACTTTGCCTTTAAAAGCAAAAGGGCAGGAAATTCTGCACTTGCTTCAGCACGGGTGAACTTGGAGGACGTTGTGCCAAGTGAAATAAATCAGGCACAGAAAGATAAACACTGCGTGGTTCCACTTACACGAGGCATCTAGACTAGTCAAACTCACGGAAACAAAGGGTAGAATGGTGGTTGCTAGGGACTCGAGGGAGGGGAAATGGGGAGTTGCTATTGAACAGGCATAAAGTCTCAATTATTCAAGATAAAAATGTCCTAGAGATCTGTGGTATAAATTGTACCTATGGATAATGATACTGTATTGTACACTTAAAATTCTGTTAAGAGGGTAGATCTCATATTAAGTGTTCTTACCGTAGTAAAAAACAGCAAAAAAAAAGTACTGCCCTTTGTTCATATTTTAAAATAAATCAGTATCCCTCTAGAGCTGCGGTCTCCAAGCCCCGGGCCTCAGAGCAGTATCGGTCCATGGCTTGTTGGGAACCAGCTGCACAGCGGGAGGTGAGCGGCAGGTGAGCTGAGGCTTCATCTGTATGTACAGCCGCTCCCCATCACTCACATCACCCCTGAGCTGGGCTTCCTGTCAGATCAGCGGCAGCATTAGATTCTCGTAGGAGCTTGAACCCTACTGTAAACTGCGCATGCGAGGGATCCAGGTTGCGGCTCCTTATGAGAATCCAATGCCTGATGATCTGAGGTGGAGCTGAGGCGGTGATGCTAGCGCCGGGGAGCGGCTGCAAACACAGATTATCATTGAGAGGTTTGACTGCACAGAAACCGTAATAAACCAACTGCTTGCAGACTCATATCAAACACTACCAGTGAGTGGCAAGTGACAGTGTGATAGTAATAGAAGTGAAGTGCACAATCAATGTAATTCGCTTGCATCATCCCGAAACCATCCCCCGACCCAGGTCCGTGGAGAAATTGTCTTCCATGAAACCAGTCCCTGTTGCCAAAAAGGTTGGGGACCGCTGCTCTAGAGAACAAGCATTGTACTTAAGTTTATCTTCTCAAGCTAATGGTGTTTGCATGTTACTGCAAGTACACACAGACCTCTTCCACTGGAGATCAAAACTAAATTTTCCTCTACATTATCATCTAACACTCTCTGGTCAGAGAAAAGGTTAACAACTGGCAGATACAGGACATATTACCGGCCCCCCCCCAAGGTTGTACGGACTAAAAGAAAAGAATTTATAGGTAAAATTCTAGAAAGCAGCATTTATAAATATTGTGATTTTCAGTAACTACAGACTTCAGGGAATACGACCTAGAGAAGAGTTCAGAATGAATCTAGTAGGGGCGGAGGTGTGGCCAGGGGCAGGGGTGTGGCCGGGGCAGGGGTGTGGCTGGGGCAGGGGTGTGGCCAGAGGCAAGGGTGTGGCTAGGGCAGGGGTGTGGCCAAGGCAGGGGTGTGGTCAGGGTCAGGAAGGTATCCTGCCCTTTCCCAGCGCCCTATATAGAAGAGATGCTCACTGAATACTGAATCCATATCAGACACACTTAGCAAAGGGGGACACTAATTGCTCACCTGCCCTCAGTTACAACAGCAATAAAACAGCCGCCTGCTACGAACCAAGTGCCGGACAGCCAGTATCTGACCTACACCCCAGCAACTCTCTGATGCAGGTGTGGTTATTTCCCAGCTTTACAAATAAGGAACCTGATATTTAGAGAATTTAATATAAAACCCAGGGTCACTCAGAGTAAGTAGCCAAACCAGACCACGAATTTTGGCAGTCCGGGCCCTAAACCACCATATCACAGTGCCTTGAAATACCTGAACATAAAATATTAAAAATATTTATCCAGTCTATGCTTTAGGAATGACAATGAGCTGTTTATACATATTATCCTAATTAATCCTTAAAAATCTGTCAGGTGCTTGTTGCATTGGTTTGCCAGGGCTACCATAACAAAGTCCCACTGGGCAGCTCAAACAACAGAAATTTACTTTCTCCCAGTTCTGGAGACTTGATCTGAAATCAAGGTGTTGGTTGTCCTGTGGCCGCTCTCTTGGCTTGTAGGCAGCTGTCTTCTCCCTGTGTCCTCACGTGGTCGTCCCTCAGTGTGTCTGTGTCCTAATCTCCTCTTCTTACAAGGACACCAGTCACACTGGATTAGGGCCCACCCATATGACCTCATTTTAACTTGACTGCCTCTTGAAAGACCCCATCTCGGAACACAGTCACGTTCTGAGGTCCTGGGGGTCAAGGCTGCAACACAGGGATTTTTGCAGAACCCAACAGCCCATAACACTTACTGCTGGCCCATTTCACTTATGAAGAAGTTGAGGCTTGAAATGATTGATAGACTCTCCCGAATCCATTGTCAGTGGCGGATGGCAGAGCTGGCGTTCAGATCCAGTTGTCTGATCCAAACCTTTGCCTACCCCGCCCGCGCCATCTCCACACGTACACACACCAGTCTTCCTGTGTCTCTTCAAACAGCACCAAAGTGCTCGGAGATCCATCGTCAAATTCTCCAAATAAGAGTAGACTCCTAAAGTCTAATCCAGCTTCTGCCAAGCGACCGGCAGCTCAAAGGGTCTTGCTAAGTAAGACCTTGACGCTGGGCCAGCGCCTCTCTTTGAGTCCAGCAAGAGTCCAACGTGACAGAGCACAAGTACCTTCCGTGTAGCA